CTGTCTTTAGTGATTGTCCAGCATTTACAGCCTAATAGAAGGGCTGACCAAACATAGCATTTCTGGACTTTCATTTTGGTGTTCATTGAGATGTTTCTATTTTTCAGGATTGGTCAATGTATACTTACTCATTAAGGCAGGTTCCTTCCAGCATCTTTTTCTTTCTTCTTCTCAATCGTATCACACTTGAAGTCCAGTATCTATCTTAATCACTATGGGGCTATCTTGCTCAATTGAATTATCGGCCGTTACAGCTTCTCTTGTAGTGTCGATGGCGTTGGCCACATTTCCTGTCTGAGGGCCCTGTCTGTCTTGCAGTGCTGAAGAAATATACCACAGTTTGGTCCGCTTCTCCACACTGGCATTTTTGCTGATTGTACTAGTTTGCCTTTGCTAAGTGAGGAAAATTCGAGTATAGTGCCTATCCCAAGGACACAACGTCGGGTCCCTGAACCGGATTCGAACCCACAACCTTACGGTTGCGAGTCTTAACACTCTCTGTAATGTTTCCCCTCCAGATCTGTGACTACATCCAGAACCAGGGATGGACCAGGGAGTGGATCGGACACCAGTTTGTGCCGTACGCCTACAAAGGTGACCAGTGGGTCGGCTACGACGACACCATCAGCCTGGGATACAAGGTCAGTCAAACCGTAGTGAAAGATAAGATAAGATAAGATAAGATAAGATAAGATAAGATAAGATAAGATAAGATAAGATAAGATAAAATAAGATGAGATGAGATGAGATGAGATGAGATGAGATGAGATAAAATGTGATGAATTGAGATAAGATGACATAGGATAAGATAAGTGACCATTCCGAAGGCGGGTTGATGCAACCATGCCAGTCAGAGCCAGCCTGGACTGTCTGACTGGTGCGTTTGTGTGTGTGTATGTGTGTGTAAAAAAAAAACAATCCCAAAGAGTTTAGTTTAAAGGCGTTACGTAAATGGCTGCGCACGTCACAATTGTACCACCATAATGCCCACTGTAATCCTCGGCGCCCGCCCAGTGGACGGAGGAAGGGGAGGGAATCTCGTCGTGTAGTGATTAAGCAAATTGACAGTAACATGGTGCGTAACTCTACTACTTCTGCTGACACGGAGCACGACAGTCGTTTCCTCTTGACAGGCGGCCATGACAGCTTACAGTCCAGTCATGAGGAGGGGACGAAAGCGATGGCTGATGTAATAGGGCAATGATGTAAATATAGTCCGGAACCCTACTCTTAATTATTCTTTTGTTCTTTTATGTCTGTTTTGCTTTGGTTTGTGTGGAAGTAAGGAGAAAGTGCCTTATTTTGTTTTGTTTTGGGGTTTTT